ATCATATAATCCTTTCAAATACTTCTTACTTTCATCTGTTCTAATACAGTATTCATTACCTATCTACTCTTTCCCAAATCCCTCTCCAATCCCTCCATGTCTGTCCTATTTTATCAACAGTGCTACTATGCAATATTTATCCTTTTGTGACTGAGATATTTCACTTAGCATAATATCCTAAAGGCTTCCTCATGTTGTGTAATATTTTACTATTTCATTGTTTTTCTTTCATTCTATGGATGTGCCATAGTTTTTCCTCTATCTCTTTTTAAGCAGTTTCATTCCTCACAGTCTTCCAGTTACGAATCTTTTTCTCTATATTCTTACTCCAGGGATAATGTCAATGAGATACTGATTTATTTGTGAAATATTAGTGAGAAAGTTAAGTGGTGATGTGGGTCATTGAGTCTAGTGGAAGGCAGGAGTATGTAAGTGTAAAGACTGTCCGACATGGCTCAAATCCCAGCCCTTCACACACTAGTGGTTCGTTGTCTGATTTTCAGAAATCTTTTGATCTTTCCTAAGACTCCATTCCATCTTTAACATAGGAATATTATTTAATGACTATCAGGGAATATTAGAGAATATTCTTTAATGGCTATTGGAACTCTGGTTTCCTAGTGGTAAAATAAACTGCATTGAAATCTCAAAGGCATGCAATTCAAATCTACCAGCTGCTCTACAGAAGGGTGAGCAATCTCCTCCTGTATGATTAGCTGCCTGTGAAAATCTGCTGTAGGGTCAGCTATGGGTGGATTCCAACTGAACAGTACACAACAACAATAGCAGCATTAGGTAACAATGTGTATGTGAAGGCTGAAGCTTGGACAGGTACTACTGGACTTTCAACTCAATTTTGTCAGTTGTGGAAGAACTGTTTTCATAAGATGTCAACTCAGAGGATTTAGCTAGATAGCGGGTGAGCAATAATTGCTGTGGCAGTCAGAACGATCGTATTATCAGTGACACTGGGGTCTAGTGTGAGCCTTTTCTGAGAAGCTGAGCTCACAGCCAACATATCACAGAAGTCTTGCCATTGCACAAATTACTGACTTCACATTCTCAGAGAATTATCAAGTGAGGCAAAAGGAATGAGCCTTGCAAAAGTTTTCTTTTTACTTACCTGAGTATGGAAAAAAAGTCAAACGAAGCACCCATCAAGTCAAGTTAGCATTAAGTCAGCTTTTGTTGATGGACACCCCACATGTACATCTGAGTAGAGCTGTACTCCATGGGGATTCAAAGGCTATTTCTTCAGAAGAAGATCATAATATCTCTCTCCTGAGACCCCTGGGGTGTGTTCAATCACCACATCTCTCTCCTGAGTTCAATCACTGTATCTCTCTCCTGAGATACCTCAGTGTGAGTTAAATCAATGCATCTCTCTCCTGAGATACCCAAGGGCGAGTTCAATCAATGCATCTCTCTCCTAAAATTCCTAAGGGTGAGTTCCAGCCTCCAACTATCCAGTTACTAGCCATGTACATTAACTATTTGATTTATGAGGGGACCTCCTTAATATGAGAACCCCACTAATTCACATTTTACTCACTACTTCATCATTTGTGCTAATATGGGAAGAGCTGGATTGAGTTGCACTGTTTTTCTCTCCTGAGAGGTAGTTTGTGGGCCAATCAATAATAACACAGGAACTCACAGCACCTAGAGTCAGAACCCTCCAGTTTTTCAGAGACTGCAAATCAGAAGGGAGATTTCCCATCTTTCTCTTATGTAGCAGTTGGTGAACTCAAACTGCCAGTCTTTGGGTTGACAGTACAACTCCTTACAAACTAGGACACCAGAGTTACCTGCTGGCTAATCAGTAGGGTGAAAAAGATTGTCATGAAATACTTTACCTACTCAAGAGAACAAACTGTGTGTAAGCACCCCAGGAATTTGCCTGAAATAATAACAAGAACTGTCTAATTGGTCTCCCACTTCTGTTTGCCATCCTATAACCTATGTTCAGTGAGCAACAGGTGAAGCTAACAGTCTTTGGAGAAGGATATTGTGCTTAGAAGGATTGAGGAGCAATGCAGGAGAGGAAGACCTTAGGTGAGATGGATTGACACAATAATTGGGGTAATGAGAGTAGGTGTGTCAGAGACAGTGAAATTGGCTCATGATAGAGCAGGGTTCAGAGCTTTTGTGTATTGGGTCACTATGAGTCATAGTCAGCTCAACAACACATAATGACAAAAACAATGAAACACAAATCAGGCCTAAGCCTCCACTGGCTCTCATTTGCTTTACAGTGGCTGAAAATGTCATTCTCCAGACTTCGGTGCTTCCCCAACCCTATCTACTCTTTTTCAGCCCCAGCACTAACACTTCTTGTCCATGAGCAGCAGACCCACTCCCTTCCATGCTCTACACTGTGGCTCTTTCTGCCTGATGTGTTCTTTCCAACACAGGGACCTACCTAACTTGTTCCTATATCGCCAAGCTTTATTTAAATGTCACCTGCTTTCCCTGACAACCCTCTTTAACACCAAACCCCCTTCTTGTATGATCTAACTTCCTGCCCTGCTTTATGTAATATTTTGCATCATTTGATATAAAATACCACTTGTAGTTGTGTACTATCAAGTCAGACCTGATCCAGCACTGATCCTCCAGTGGGTTTTCAGAAGCAGTTAATCACACAAGAGGACACTAGCCATCCTTCTCTCACAGAGCTGGTGGATTTGAACCATGTGCCTTTGGGATTGCGGTCCAGATTCTTGCCACTAGGCCACCAGACCTCACTATGTCAGTCCCTACTAGAATGTCAATTCCATGAGGTAAGGAACTTCTCTTTATTTTGTTCAACACTATCCTCTTGCACCAAGAATGGAGCTTGGCACATAGTAGATACTCAGTAATCATTTGTGAAATCAATGAATGAGATTAATATGAAAATTTTCAAAATTCCTCAATTAATTCAAGTCAGTTGCTCTTTAGACAAAATCTAGAGTAGTTTACTAAGATATCAATTTTCATAAGTTTAACCCAAAATTTAGATTTTTTTTTTCATCAATGTAGTCACTTCATCATACTCTCAATTGCAAAAGTTAACTTTATTCTCTAAAAGAAAGACTGATAATGACACCTCTTGGACAAATGGAAACAATTCCTATTGCTTCTACAGAGAACAGTCAGTGATTGTTTCTGCTGTATATGACTTACTTTTTAATCTGTTCCTCATAGGTTTGCTTCTGTGTTTCTATTTCCTTCTGTAGCTCCTGGATGACTCTCTGGAAAACTTCAAGTTCCCATTCTCCAGAGTCCTTTGTTCCAGGCCCAACTTCAGAAGTGGGACTAGCAAGAATGTCTTTTTTAGAGTCATAGGTGGGGGGTAAAGATGCTGCACTAGCTTTGTCCTCAGGGGACACTTGAAGGGCAGGGACGTTATCATAAGTTGAAGTCCGCTGGGAGTTGGAAAGACGGCCCAAATTTTGAGACATTGTCCTTTTGTGTCCATCTCCTGTCTTGGTCTCTGAAGTTGACCAAAACTCTTTTTTAAAGATTTCCACTTTACTGTTGTTGGCCTCATGCAAAGTTGAGGTCAAGAAACTTTTTCTGTTAGGAAGTGTTTGTGTCCTTTTCCGTGACTGTAGCTTCCAATCTCCTGGATTTTCCTTGGAGAGTTTACTGGATTCATCCAGGTACCTGTCACTCAGCTGAAGTCCAGTGGGACTGTTTGTGTCAGAATCACTTGCCTAGGAAAAACAACCAAGAATATTATTTGGATTTGCTAGATGCTGTCTAGAAATTTTTTAGTGGATGCTATAAGGATTTTTCCTACTCAGGTGTCATGCAAGGTAAGGAATAAAAACTGCAAAAGAAAATGTCTTCTGGATGCACAAGAATGAAATTGATAATTTCAAAACTATCTCATAATTTATCACAGTAATTTATTATCTCCTTTTTTATTTACTCAAGAGAATGCTGTGTATGAATGAAGTGGATGTCCTAGAAGTGAAGTACTAAGTATAGACAATAGTATTTCTGTTGTCAAAAAGGGTCCTTAATTAGTATCTCTTCATAAACTTAGAATGCAGAATTCCAGGGGCCTTTTGAACTATGTTGAAAAAAAATGATAAATTTAACCCTCTGTATGATTAAAGGAAATATACATATCTACATATATGCAAAATAAAATAAATAAAATTTTAAAAAGCAATACATGTTCAAGAGGATGTGGAGAGATTAGAACTCTCATACACTGTTGGTAGAAGTATAAAATGGTATAACCACTCTGGAAGACAGTTTAGTGGTTCCTCAAAAAGCTGAATATAGAAATTCCATATGACTCACCTATTCCACTGGTAGAAATATACCCTAAGAAAGTTAGAACTGAAACACAAATGGAGATTTGTACACCAGCATTCGTAGCAGCTTTTTCATAATTTCAAGAAGATGTGAACAGTCCAAATGTCCAACCACAATCAAATAGACTGAGAAATTGTGGTGTTGACACAATGGAATACTATGCAGCACTTAGGAGGAACAATTTTGAAAAATACTACATAACTTGGAAGAGACTGGAAAGCACTATGCTGAGTGAACTAACTCAGTCTTATGAGGACAAATACTTCATAAGATCATTATTGTAAAATTAGAAGGATACCTAGTAAAACCTCTACAGGGAGGAAGGGTAGGAAACATGTATAGTAAAACATGTAGGGAGGAAGGAAAGGAGCAGAGAGGTTAGGGTGGACATGGGGGGAAACAATGTTATGGGTGGAGGGAAGGGGTGAAAGAAATAGGAAAGATACAGCAAGGACCTGAAAAGAAGGTGGGTAGGGTAGGCATAATTCAATGGTGATTAATTTTATAAAACAAAATGTATGGGAATGACTGTATAAAATACAATGTGAATGAAGGGAAGTATGAAACACAATGTACACGAATTTTGTATGCAAACTAATATAAAAGAATTTTTAAAAAAATCACTGTAACATAATAAATGTGAAAAGAAATAACAAACTTGAAAAATATTTGCTATGTAGAAAAAAGACAATGAACTATTCTCCTTAATGTATCAACTAATAAAATTGACAGAGGGAAAGACCAAAAATCATAGTAAATTAAACAAAGCACAAAATCAGACAATTTATAGAGAAAAATTCTCTATCCTTTTAAACATACATTGTTAGGTTTAACCTATTTAAGAGAAGCTCAAATTTAAACTAAAATTGCTCAAATACCAGTTCTCATGTATCAAATATGTTGTTGTTGTTGTTATGTGCCGTTGAGTCGCCTGCGACTCATAGCGACCCTATGTACAACAGCCCTAAACTCCGCTCTGTCCTGTGCCAATCGCACTGTTTCTGACACTCCCATCCCAATTATCCCAGTCACTGAATCAATCCACCTCATAGAGGGCTTTCCTCTCCTGCGCCGTCCCTCCACCCTCCCAAGCATGTTGTCCCTCTCTAAGGACCGGTCTCTCCTCACAACATGTCCAAAGTATGTTAGACGGAGCCTCAGAATCCTTGCCTCCAAGGAGCCACCCGGTTTAACCCTTTCCAGGACAAATCTGTTTGTTTTCCTAGCAGTCCATGGTATTCTCAATACTCTTCTCCAGCGCCACATCTCAAAGGCATCAATTTTCCTTCTATCCTCCTTGGTCATTGTCCAACTCTCTGATGCATAACAAGTGATTGCGAAGACCATGGCCTGTATCAGACGCAGCTTAGTCTCCAGAGAGACACCATTGCTCTTCACTACTTTGGAGAGGTCCCTAACAGCAGACTTTCCCATGGCAACGCGCCTTTTCATTTCCTGGCTGCAAACTCAAAAATTTTTGGTGAAATCGTGGGGAAAATGGGTCTTTTCATGACCTGTTAGTGGAGTATTGGTAGCACCGGGATAGGTGAAGAAAAAATTGAGGTTTTCCACAATTTCAACTTGCTTGGCTCCCCAATCAACACTCTTGGCACCAGCAGTCAAGAAATCAAAAGAGAAATTGCTCCAGAGAAGGCTACTGCCAGGGATCTCTTTAAAGGGCTGAAGAGCAATGATGTCAATCTGGAGATTAAGGTACACCTGATTCAGGTCATGATCTTCCCAATTACTTATCAGAGATCTGTACAATGACCAAGGATGACAAAAGATAATTGATGCCATTGAATTGTGGTAATGGAAAAGAGTATTGAATATGGACTGCCAAGAGAACAAAGAGGTTTATCCTAGAGAGGGTGAAACAGGCAGCTTTTTGGAGGCAAGGATTTTGAAGCTCTGTGTCACATACATTGGGCAGGAGGTCAGGAGGGACAGGTTCTTTGAGAAGGACATCATTCTTGGAAAGGTAGAGGGACAGCACAAGAGAGGAAGATCCTGTATGAGATGGATTGACACAGTAACTGGGATCATGGCGGTAGTTGTTTCAGAGAGAGTGAGATGAGCTCAGGATAGAGCAGAGTTCAGAGCTACTGTACATAAGGTCACTATGAGTCATGGGCTACTCAATGGCACATACAATAACATCAAGTTGGAGCACAGCATGGCACAACCTCTATTTAAAAATTTTTTCAAAATTACATAATGAAAATCCATTTACTCTTGGGTTCTGCAATCTTCTTTCTGAAAATTCATCCCAGAAATGTATTTGTGTGAATGAAAAATGAAACAGTCAAGTTTATCCCCTGCAATCTTGTTTAGTGCAAAGGGTTAGAAGCTTTCTCCTATGTATTGAACTGTGCTCTTGTCTCCACCTCCACTCTCCCCTTCCTACCTTCAAAAAAATGTATTGTAATCACAGATCCTGAGATTATATTCATAGTTTACATCTATTTCCATGAGTGTAAACCTATTTGGAAGTAGGTGTTTCTTTGTTTTGTCAATAGGCTGATATCAGTGTAAGATAAACAGAATTACTTTTGAGTTCTAAAAAAGATTAGAGACAGAAATGAAGTACAAACAGATGGAACACAGATGTTGTATGACAATAGTGAAGAAATTTAGGAACTCCGCGACCACAGAAGCTAGCAGAGATTAGGATGGTCCCTCAGAAACAACAGATAGAAATTCCTGCCCTAGAACCAGAGCCCTGGATTTTGGACTAAACAGTGAGAAAATGTCTGTTCTTTAAAGTGATTTGCTTAAGGCATTTCTGTTATAGTTAGCACTAGGCTATAGATAAAACTTGTCCATTTAAAGGAGTTGATTAAGTAGATTACGGTCCATGCATACAATGGAACACGATTTGTTGTTGTGTGCTTTAATTTTGATTCATATTGACCCTACAGACTGCCCTATAGAGCTTCCTAGGCTGTAATCCTTGAAAAACATATCACTAGGCCTATTCTGTACAAGTTGCTGTACCGTGGTCACTTGTGGTTGCTGTGAGGCTGAACACTGTGACACTGATGTGTCAAATGCGTTAATGGTTGGCTACCCAATGCAGACAGAGAGTGGGGTGGAGCTCCCCAATTAAAACAAGTGTGGAAGGAGGAGTGGCATCCACTTCCATAACAGCTTGCCTCCGGAAACCCTATGAACCTGGAGAGAGGATGAAAGGCACCCAAGCATTGAGGACTCTCCTTCATAGCGTTGCTATGAGTCGCCTGCAACTTGAGGGCACTTAACAACAACAACAAGGCCTATTCTTATGATGGATAGCGAAGAGATTGAGATTATTAACAGTTTTAGATTGCTTGGCTCCACAATCAACACTCTTGGTACCAGCAGCCAAGAAACTGAGAGAAGAATTGTATTTGTAAAGTCGGCTGTTGGGGACCTTTCGAGAGTACTGAAGAGCAACCACGTCAGTCTGGAGACTAAAGTGTGCCTGATCCAGGCCATAGTTTTTGCTACGCATCAGACAGCTGAACAATGACTAGGGATGACAGAAGGAGAATTGATGCCTTTGAGCTGTGGTGGACAAGAGTGTTGAATAGACTACAGACTGCAAAGAGAACAAACAGGTTTGCCCTAGAGAGGATGAAGCCAGGCTGCCATTTGGAGGCAAGAATTCTGAGGCTTCATCGGACATACTTTGGGCATGTTGCAAGGAGGGACCAGTGCTTGTAGAGGGACACCATGCTTGGGAGTTGGATGGACAGCCAAGAGAGGAAGACCCTTGATGACATGGATTGACTCAGTGACTGGGATAATGGGGGTAGGTGTGTCAGACACAATGAGGTAGGCTCAAGGTAGAGCAAGGTTCAGAGGTAGTTAATCACATGGGAGACAATTACCCATCTCTTTCCTTTGGAGAAACTGCTGGATTTGAATTTTGTGCCTTTGAGTTGGCAGTGCAGCTCCTCACCACTAAGCCATGAGACCTCGCTTAGCAAGCCTGTTTAGAGACCTCTGGTGGCAGAATTCATGGCAGCTGCACAGTTAACCCCAAAAACTGAGCTTCTCAGGTATTCCATCAGCTGCTCCTTGGAAGAAAGATGCACATTCTTCTTCCATGCAATGTACAGTCTTGGAAATTCAATGGAGCATTAGCTGTAAGTTGGTTTCCTTTCAACGACAATGAATTAAGAGGAACCCCATGTAGTGTCAGAAGCTCCTGGGTCTGACAATGAGACCCACATCTGAGTCCTATTCTGAAAAAATGCCACTTGGGCCAGTTGGTCAATCTCTCTAAGTCTCTGCTGCTTAACCATAAAACATGGATGATAAATTCTGCTCTACAGAGTTAGAGTGAGCAGTCCGAAGGCCATCTACTTGAAATGTCCCAAGCAGATGACAAGCAAGGGTTTCCTGTCAAAGAACATGGCAAAGGCTACTCTTTTTTTTGTTTTTGTTTTTGTTTTTAAAAAATTATTATTAAATTTTATTAGTTTTAGTGAACATTTACAGAGATTTGGGGTTTTCATTCATTCATTGTTGCACTGTTTTCTCTACCCTCCTCCCCAGTTCGTTCTTCTCGCCCCCCCCCAATGTCTGTTTTAATTGTGGCAAAGGCTACTCTTAAGGGCTGCTAAGGAGATTTAACTAGATGAAGTATGAAAATTCCCTAAATATTATTAAGTTCAAAAACACCAACTATTAATAAGATGTGTTGCACAAAGAGAGATGTCACCTAAAAAAAAAAAACCCACCCCAACAAAAAACAACACTCTATTGTTACCTCCTATTTTGTTTATATTTTTAATTTTCCTCTGACTCAACAGTAGTATAGATAATTTATCTGTCAGTTAAGTTACCTGCTTAGTCAGAAGTCCTAAATTAATTTCTTAGTCACACATAATGAATCAAGCTGCTGTTTAAAGTCCACATGTCCTTTTCATAAATATGTGTCCCTATTAATATATAAAAATATTTGACCTTTGTAAATCATTGCCCTCAAATAATCTAAATTTTAGAGTCTGCAGAATATTTGGACACTGGGAACGTGAGCCCCAACACTTAAGTACAAATGAGGAGGCTGACATTGCTGAGAAAGCTTATCAGAGAATGAGAAATATTACACGAATTCATCACATCTCTCAGAAAGAAATCACGTTTCACGAGTTAGCAGGAAACAGTTCTCTCTAGATTATAATTGTCAACAACTCTAGCCAAAATATTTATAATATGTGTGTGTATGTGTATGTATGTGTGTTCTTTTATTGTACTTTGTTGGGCTGTCTTTCAAAGGATTTTTTTTTAGTAGACTTCAGAGAGGACCACCATTGTCAGTCACTGAGTGACTGACGCATATGCCAGGGTTCTATAGGCATCAGCAAAGGCTTCCAAAATTTGCTCCAATGTTTTTTAACAACTAGACCCATTGCCACAGCATCAGCTAAAATACCTCAGATTGCCACTCCAGACCAGCTCTTAGATGAGATAGTCTGGACTAAAAGAAGAGACTGATGGGAAAATAAAAGCTCTTGGATTCTCACCGTATTACTGAAGCTGTCCACCCGTGAAATTGGGGAGTCTTCAGTTGCGTCCCAGCCCACAGAGCTTCGGGCCACTGGTGGCTTCTTAATGTCATTTTTCAGGGCAGGAGGTGACAGGGGTGCATCCTTGGACTTGGGGAAGAGGACTTCATGGTCTCGAATCATCATAGTCATTACCCTTTGGATCTGAGGAGTCCCTGGGAGGAAGAAAAAAAGGCATTTGTAATGATGACTTTCAGCATGAGGTACGTTCCACACCCAAGTCTCCAAACCTGACTTTAAAACCACAGGGAATGACAGGATCCCCTAGGTGAATGATGAAAAGCCACTTGGGACCTCCCAGGAACCCTCTTAATTATTGAGGTAAGGGAGGTGAGGCAATAGAAAATGTATATGTGAGTAGGGTCAAATATAGGATTATTATGGTTCTTTTCAGTCTATAATCTTCTGGGTGTGGGAATCAAGAAAATCTCCAATGTAACAGGAGATAAATGAAGACATACTCCTTTCCTGAAAGAATTCTCTATATAATGGTTAATTTTCTTTTTTTTTTTTTTAAGTTGTTGCTGTTGTTAGTACAGTAGAGTCAGAACTGACACAAAGCTAAGCCTCCAGCAAGTTTTCTTAGGCAATAAATGCACAGGACTTTGGAATTACAGTGCAACTTCTTATCACTAGGCCATAATAGATGGCAAATCTGTGCCTACCATATTGCAGCAGCAGCAGCGGTCACCTCTTCAAGACAGAACTTTGGCTCAGTGAGCAAGACAGTCTCACAAAAGCCTTCTAAATGCAGTGTTTGAGTGAGCTGTCTTATATAATAAAAACCTTTTGTCCTCTCAAACTCAAAATACTAATTGCCATCCAGTTGGAACCAATTCCAAGCTGGTTTTCAGAGGCTGTAAATCACATAGGAGCAGACTGATCATCTGTTTCCTGTGGATTCAAACCCCCAGAGAAGTGCCAAGTGCTGCTTCTGGGTTGGCAGTACTGTTCAGTACAAACAGCACACCAGAGCTCCCCTCTCTGGTAATTAAAAAGAAACAAAAGATAATGAAATAACAAACAACAGTTTTAGTGCCTGGCTCTTGTTCAGTGTGATCACCAGGCAAATCTCTTGACCTCTCAGTCTGGAAGGTGACGTCTCCTCCATTCTGTGTGCCTCAAAGTTTATGATATGACGAATGAGATGAACATGCTTGGTAACGTGATATTACAGGAATTGTTAGCAAGGCTTCCCCATAGAAGCAGCCATACCTCTCATGATCACAGCAGGGTCTTCAATCTTTGACCTGATGAGATTGACTCCTATCACAGTGGCCAGGTTGTCCACGCTCATCTTGTTAACTGCACAGTTCAGCTGGATTTCATAGAGGAACCTGTGGACACCCAAGAAATCCCACAGTGGGAAACAGGAAGTTGGCAGAAGAAGTTCTTTAAGATACCCAGAAACTCTCAAGGATGGGTTCTAATTTTTCCTTGTTTCTGGAATGGGACTAGCCTATACACCCACAAAGGTTTAGCTCAATCCTGAAAGATCTAAGATAAGGAAAGGAAAAGAAACTAGTAAGGGTTTGCCTAGTTACTGATAGGAGATTGGGGTTCAGAGGTAGATGGAGAACAATATTGGCAGGAGGCAGGCCTCAGTTCAGAGAATTAAAGTGAGACTAAAAAACTCACTCCCTCATGGCAATGTGGCATCAATCAGTTCTGACTCATATCTGACACTCATAATTGACTCTCCTGTTATCTGTACAAGAGAGTCCCCATCTTTCTCAGGTGGGTTCAAACTGCCAGATAAGTGCAGTCTTTGGATGAGCAGTAAACTCCCTGCAGCCAATGCCGCCAGAGCTCCCTCTAGAAAAACTCACTTAGCTCAACCTCAGGGCCTAGAAACCTCAATTAAATTGCTTGTTAAAAAGAAAGATAAATTTCAGGTCCACCTGAAATAGTGGTCCAGGTTCCCAACCGCCATGTCTGGTCACTTTCCTCACTAGATGTTTCTAAGGAGATGGTATACAGCAGGTTCCAGGAAGGGTTTGGGACAAGAAAGCATGGCCTGGAATGAATGTTCGGGGGGTACTGAACTCTGGCTCAGAGTCAAGAAGATAGGAAGAAATTCTAGAAACATTGTAAGGATTTGGGGTTCGTGTGCATGACCCAGGATGCTGGGAAGTCCTAGGGCTGGCCTGAGCGGGAAAATCTATTTTGTGTCATCAGACTTTCAAGAGATCCTTCATTTTATCATCTGGAAATAGAGAGGTACATTAGTGCTATGAATAGACTTGACCTTCTAAAAGCTCTTGTACAGTGAAACCCTCTTGTCTTCTAAAGAAGATTTCTTTCTGATGTGACTGAAGCTGTGACCCATCACCTTATAACAGCTTATAACAGGGGACTCTTACCTGCAGAGATAGCTCAGGAGGCTGTAGTTATCTCGAGGAAAGATGGAGAGTTGCTTCATCAACTCCTGCTGAGCCTGGAAAGAGAATTCTGACATCAGTAAAGGGGTCTGCTCATTTGCCAGCCGAGACCTTGGATGGAACCTGAGCAGATCTGCAAAAAGACACATTTTGGTGACTATTTTCATGCCTTTTAAGAAAAAAAGTCATTTTAAAATAAACATAAATTCACACAAAGATGAAAAAATAATATAAAGGAGCTCAGCAACTTTTGTACAATTTATTTTTTTGTCTGCAATCGTGTCCTCTGTGGAACTACCACAAGGCAAAGGATGGCAGGTCAGATGCATGCCTGCATACAGTCATTGTTTGCTAGGTGAATGTTTGAGATGCAGAACACCCATTCAAAACTGAACCATAAGTAAATAGTTTAAAATCATCTTGAAAGTGGAGAGAAGGCAGGAGTTTCTGAGGAGGCCTGAGAAAATGCGTTACCGAGATCTTTTGGGACAGTCTGATCAAGTTGATGGGCAGGTGCCAGGTTGAACTATTCATTCAGCCCTGTGCTGACCTTGAGTATCAAGGATGATAAGAAACACATGTGTCAGGGACAGGAAGAACAGAGAGATTTTCTTCCTTCTTTTCAGCCGCAGTTGCCTGTAGTATCTGTAATCACCATTTGTAACACAGCATGCTTGTGAGTGTGCGCAAGTTCACATGAGACTGGGGCTCTCCTGGAACCTGAACACTTCGTCCCCACAGAACTTGGTCCCTAGACAGCCTGTAGTAGGTATAGCCGTGCCTCTGGAAGGCAGTTCCTGAGTTATAAATGTGATCCCTTTCTGTGTCTGTATGTCTTAAACTACACTTTGTAAGTCAATGTTAACAGGTGCACACTGTCCTTTATTTGTTGTTGGGTGTGTATCATTACATTAACTATGGCTCCCTGTGACCCAGTGAACAACAGATCTAAACCCTGTCTTATCCTACACCATCCTCTAGATTTCTGAGATAGACGCTCGAACCCACTGTTCCAGGCACTATGTCAAGCCACTTGGTGAGGTTCATCTCTCTCTCTTGCCTGCCTTTCCCAGCATGATGTCTCTCTCCAAGGACTGGTTCCTCCGGAAAATATGATCAAAGTAAGTGAGACAAAGATTTACCATTCTTGCCTCTAAGGAGCATTCTGATTTCACTCTCTTCAAGACAGAGCTGTTGGTTCATCTGGCCGACAGCTTTCCCAATGAAGAAAGATGCAACAGTGGACTCCCTCGAAGACGTCCAATCTCAGAAGCTCAATGGAGCAGTTCTACTCTGTCTTTTACAGTTGGAGTTGACTCCATAGAAGCAAGTTTGGTTTTAGTTTTTAATGAAGAACAGATTTGGAAGCCTTTCCCGTTGTTGGAAAACTGTGCATAGTCAATTGAATTGACCATGATGAACTGTTGTGAATAGGGGTTGGTTCAATCATTTCAAAGTGAGGAAAAATTTAAAAAACATGAAAGGGCAAATAGGAATTGTCTCTGAACCAGACATGGGTGACCCAGGAGCTGCCTGAATCTAAATATAGTCAGTCAGAGTGGCTGCTTTATTCCCAATCCTGAGATTTTCATTCTTTTCCATTTAGTAAAGCTGATGCTTTGCAGAAATTTCTATAAACTTGCTCCTCCCAGTAACCACCCTTACTACATTTTCACCAGTAAGAAAGGCCCTGTCCCTCTACCATGTCAGATGTGTGTTGTCACCAATAAAGAAATTCTCAACTGTGTTGTAAGGGAGAAAATTTGGTAGAAGCAGGTAATGTGAAGAAGTTCAGGGCTGGGTGCCCCCTCCACAGTTAACTACTGGAGCAGATTTCAGGAAATCAATTCCTTTCCTCCAAAGCAAGACAGTTAATTCCAACGAAATACAAACCTTTGTCTCGTCTGAATTCATGAGCTGTCCACAGAGCAGAAATGCCTCATACTGGCTCCAGGGAACCACGGGTTCTGGAAGGTCTCGAAGGTAGAGTTTTAACAGGGAGGCCACTGTGTGTACATCTGTGTCTCTGGAAAATAATACATAATATTCTTTGAGAAAGAACTCCCAAACTGTGCTCACCTTCACCCTGGTTATTCTCTAAATAGAATTCTGGGTTTCAAAGAGAAGTTTTCCAGAGGAATAGATGAGGCCAATTATCCTTACTAATGTCATGTCCTGCAATAACAACCCTCAACACTTTTCCCTCCCTCTTTCTCCATTTGCCTGAAAAGTTAGTTAAAAGTCCATTTTTTTGAACATTCTTTATCTATTTTAGCCTTCATTCATGTCTTTCAGTCATCTGGTATCTCATATTTTAAGCATTCTGTATTTAATACCTAATTTTTCAAATGTTAGTGTGAACCATATCTATGATTTGCTGCTCTCTTTAAGTTACTAAAATCTGTGAATGGATTTTGACTCAAAGAGACCCTGTAAGACAACACAGAACCACCCTTTAGGGTTCCAAAGTTGTGAATATATTCCGGAGACTGCTTCACCTTTCTTCCACAGAGAGGTTAATGGGTTTGAATAGCTGACCTTTCAATATAGCAATCTGATGCTTTTCACATGGTGCCACCAGGGCTTCTTAAGCCCTACTCTGAAACCTCTGAATCCTCTTTGGGTCAATAAGCACTTAGTGCCTGCTGCATGCAAGATGCTAATCCAGGTGCTGGGGTTTCAATAATGAGCCTGGGGCTACCATGAGGAAGTCTGGGGCACACAAATTACTATGTCTTGACAATATAGTTCAATGGTAGCCAGGATAAAGGAAGCACAGGACTCGGAACCATATGGAAGTAGAGAAAGGCACCCAATTCACATTAGGAAGATGTGGCAAATACTCAGAAGGAACCTGAAGAGTGAGGAGAGGTATACAAGGTACAACATGGTACAACATGGGCAGAATATTTGTCAGCCTAGAGGTGGAAAGAGAAGGCCCTGGTGTAGGAACTGAGATAACATTCACTTGATTAAGCGAGAGCCACAGGCTCTTCAGTTGAGCTTCTCGAGTTAACAGCAACAGTCAGCAAACCATGGTTCACTAGCCAAATCAGACCTGTTGCCTGGACTTCTATGGCTAATAAGCTAAAATTGTCTTATATTTTAAAATAATTGGAAGAAAAAAATAAAGAAGCAGCATATTTCAAAATGCATAAGTTTTGTGAAATCCATATTTCAGTATCTATAAATAAGTTTTACAAAAACACAGCCTATGTTCATTCATTTACCTTTGCCTAAAACTGTTCTCACTAGACAATAGCAGAGCTGAGAGCTTGCAACAGAGCCCATATGACCTTCAAATATGAACCTACTTAACACATGGCCTTTTAAGAAAGGTCTTTCAGACTCAAGGCCTACAGAGTTATATTTACTTTCCATCTCTGCAAGAAAAATGTAAGTCTGAATCTACCAGATACTTGAAGATCATTTGAAAATCATTTATCCATTTTAGAACATGAGAAACTGACATTCTTAGGATAAAATGCTAGTAATACTTCAACATGCTAAGAGGTCTAGACAATATAATATCTGTTTTCAGTGATGACTCAAACTCATTCACCTCAGTGCCCTCAAGTTAGAACTGGCTGACCCTCCATCCAACAGGTTTTACTCAGCTGTAAATCATTTAGGGAAAGACTGGTCATCTTTCTCCTGTGAAACAGCTGATGGATTCAAACCCTTGAAAAGATAAAGTCTTGCAATGGTGAATAATGCTGCTGTGAACGTTGGTGTACAAATCCTCCAAGGAGAAACTTGGTTTCACACTCTCCAAGACTGACCTATTTGTTTTCTTGGCAGTCCATGGCATGTTCAAGACTTCTCTAGCACCACAGCTCAAAGGCATCAATTTCTTTGTTTTTTTTCATACTTAGTCATTATGTAGCTCTCTGATGCATAGCAAGTAATTGCAAACACCATGGACTGGATTGTAGATAGCTGGGTTCTATTTGGTTTCTCAATTCTGTTCCTTTGGCCTATGTGCCTGTTGTTGTACCAGTACCATGATGTCTTGGTTACTACTGCTGTGTAGTAGGTTTTGAGGTCAGGGTGTGATATTCCTCCCAACTCATTTTTGGTTTTCAGAACTGCTTTACTTCTTTGGGGTCTGTTTTCTCTCCAAATAAATGTGACAATTTCCCTTTAAAAAATGTATTTTAAACAACAGAACTCCCTATGGATGAGGTCAACATAACCTGATTCCCTCACATTAAGTCATTCCAGCACAATGTGTATCAGAGAAGGAACATACTCCACAGGGTTTTAAATGACTAGCTTGTCAGAAGCAGATTGCCATCTAACTTAAAAAAAAATCTTCTAAACTATATTTGCAGGGTGCTCCAGTTGCCCAACAGTAAGGAATTGTGCTGTCAACACAAAGGCACCCAGTTTGAATCTGCCATCTATTCCACAAAAGAAGATGTGCAATTAACTCCTGTGCAATTTACTGTCTCTAAAAACCTGCCGGAGGGCCAGCTATGAGTCAGTCCTAACTCAACAGTACAAAACGACAATAATAACAACAAAAGCAAACTGTATTAGGGACTGACAATAATCTCTTTAGAGACCAGGCCCAGAGCACAGATCCTATCTCCCCTATAAAGTTTCACATTAACTGTACAGAACAAATTAAACAAAAAATTGTCTTTGACACTAGCTATTTAGGTAATATCCAATCTCTAAATATATGACATAAAATGTTCTATTGTTGTTGTTGATTGCTGTAGAGTCAAGCACAACTCATAGTGACCCTATGAACGAAAGATCTGAAGCCTTTCTATAACTATCATAGTTTCTCAAAGTTCATAGTTTCCAGAGCCATGTTGTTTAGGTAGTAGATGCCACTCCTGATTCCAGTGACTGAATAAAAATGTTAATGTCTTTACATTGAAATTAACTTTTAAAGTTGGATGTCCTAGCCAAGTTTTTGCCTTCATATGGTAATAGCTAATACATAGTGCATGAATTAGAGACTTCCTAAGAGATTTGTTAAAACACTATTAAATGCACAATTAAAAAAAACAAACACAGATGGATCTTTTCAGTGGACTTCAGCATTTCCATTAGCAGTGAAGAACTTGACCACTTTCACCATTCAGAGACTGTGAATCCAAAAATACTGTTGTTGGTATTAGGTACAGATGAGTCTCTACAGCTCATAGAGACCCTTGAAAAATAGATCTGAACTTTGCCCTATCCTCTGCCATCATCACCATCTTTGATTTACTTAAGCACCCTGTTTTAGTCACTGTGTCAATCCATGTTGTTGCGGGTCTTCCTCATAAAATAGGGGAGGTGGAAATACTTGTAAGATAGGAAAGGAAAGAGGTAGACTGGACATGAGCAGAGAAGCGAGCCAGTATGGGCAGCAGAAACAAGGACACTAGAGATTGGCTATAAAGCTGTCTTCAAATTTTGTATAAAGGTTTTTGTTTGTGTTCTGGTCAGTCAATTTTTGTTGTATCTTTTTTTTTTCTTTCTTTTTTTTTTTTGTGGTGGTGGTGCTGGGGGGTATCTTGTAAAGAAGTCCTCAATGTGTAGCCCATGAACTCTTTACCTCAAAAAGAGAACAAAGCCCTGTCTATGCTCCACCTACTGCTGCCTCCGGAAATTTGGGGTGGGAAGCATTCCTCTAGTGTGGGAATTCTGCTGAGTCACTGCCTAAAAATACTGCAGGACAAAGCCAACCTAGGGAAAGTACCTCTGTGAACACGCATGGAGAAACTCTACCGAAAATGCAGAGGCAAGCAGGTGACAATCAGAATCCGTACAATAATCTTAACATAAAACCAAAATTGCAACATGATTGGGGCCTTTATTTCAACTGTCCCACCCCCTGCCAATTTTTCTCCCCAAATGCTTCAAATTTACTATCCAAATTTCCCACGAATCCTAAATTTTTCCCCACTTTTTCGACCCTGTTTTTGAATGCCATTCTCTTTACCAGGGTGACTGTGCCAGCCTCCTACCTCATCTCCCTGCCTCTTGTTTTCAGGTACCAACCCAGTGTCCACTGCCTGACTGGTCTCAACATTCAAAACTCATTCATAGAGTGAATGAAAAAAAAAGAATTCAAAGTGAGAAAACTAGTGTGATAATTTTTTTTTTTTTTACTGTTCAGTGGATTTTGGTTTTGTAGCAATACAGCAGTAAAGACAATGTGAGGGCAATCCTTGGAGTTCTCAGTGCCTTGGGGATTCTCTTCCTGAGGCAGGCTGAGGCATTCTGAATTTTGAGAGGTCCAGGTTCAAATCTAAGAAGGTGTACACATTGTAGTCGTGGTGTTGGAGATTCTTGTAGGTGGTATTGTCAAACGGCTCAACAGGTGCGGCATCCTGCATTTTTGGTGGACTTTGCTTCTTGGCATTTGGTGACAGCCCCTTTTCACTCTTCCCTGATTTTGAAGAGAGAGACACAGTAGAGGCAAGTCCTCGAAGCACCCCTGCTTGGAGCCCAATCTTCAGCGCCCCAAAACGTCCTTGCCGCAGCAACAGGGGCGCAGCCATGCCTTTGATAGGGGAGAAGGAAGGCTGGGAGGGGGACCAGCCACACTGAGGTCACACTAAGCAAGGAAACCTGCTCTGATAAGTATTTTTTTTTTTAATTCTCTTTTGCTAGAATCAATACATGTTGTTTTTAGGTGCCACTTGAGTTAGCTAGGATTAATAGTGATCCAATGAACACAGAAAGCTTGCCCAACTTGTGCCATCTTTGCCATCTCTGATATGCTTAAGCCATTGTTACAGACACCTCTGTCCAGTGATTGTGTTTTCCTCTCTTTTGATGACTTTCTACCTTTTCTAGCATGCTGTCTTTTTCCAAGGACTTGATCCTAGTTTCACTTTCTCCATGTAGAGTTTAAGTAACCATCTTGTTTTTCCTTGACTGTGTTGTTCTACCAGGCAAAGAAAATAACCTTAAATTAAGTCATTAAAAGAACAACAAATTAAAGAACTAAGAGCAAGTCAGGAGCCAAGTACCTCCTGAGGTCAACACCTGATCCCCAAAGGATTCACCTTGGTTCTG